GGATCTTCGTTACGATAACCATAGGGACGCGGCTGGTAATAGTCCATCTGAGGTCGCTGATAACCGTAGTTGGGCTGACGTGGGGCGTAGTACGGCCCGGGACGAGGAGGATACGGCCATTGGGGGCAGCTACCACCTCGAGAATAGCCGGGTGGTTGTCGGTAATTGTCCTGGTAACGAGAGGACTGGCCAACATCGTATCGGTTAAAGGTTGCCGTGTCCATCTCCGGCCCAACACGTCGAGTGCGCGCATACAAAAGCGGGTGGCGGTGGTCGGCGGGAAAGTGACGTGACGTGCCAGGCTGAGTGAGACCGTGACGATAGCGCTCGCCGATCTCGCCCTTATAGACGGCCAAAGTACAGAGCTCTTTGGTGACTTCAACTAACTCGGCATCTACCTCTGTGAGCTCTTCTAGAAGCTGGGGCCTCAGGCAAACACGAACGAGGAGAGCTTCCAGAGCCGGTCTAAGAGCAAACAGACGTGCAGCTGTGGCGTAGCGCATCTTGAAGGGCATCCAGTCGTCAAGAAGAATGAAGCCTTCCTCGTCGCTGGCTCCCTTTAAACGCCAGACAGCACGGCGACAACCAAAAAGAAGCACTTGAACGGGCGAAATCATCATGAGAGTTTTGCAACTAACCGCTTGTGTCCGTATCTATAGTTTGAATATGGAATAAATTAAAATGGTTAGAGTAAAACCAAGTTGAATGTAAACTATAAAAGCTTACGAAAAGGTGCACTATATCGAAGAGCAACTACAACTCAGAAAAGAAATCGGGGGTAAAAGAATAAACACAAAAGATAGTAACTAGTCATCAGTACACACATTTCACAGAACTAGACAGTTGCCATGCTGTTCTTACTAGAGATAAAAGCAACGGCCATACTAACATTATCTAAAACATGCACAATATGTTGGAAGTGTGGACCACGTTGCAGGACCTGCTCGTTTCAATTTGCTTTGAGACTGAAACTACAGTCCTGCGGACAGTCATAAAGCGGCAAGTAGTGTACGCAGAGCGAGATAAACGAGGAAATACACCATAAGTTTATGGTTTTAACGGCCATATAACATAATGTTCAATAGTATAAATTAAAGCAATGGATACTAGTGGCAAATACAAGAAACGTGCTCAACAAGAGAGAATGCACAGTCTGCAAAATTGCATCACCATATACTACAGCACTATGGTGAACAGCCAGTGTACAGGTGGGATCACACCTGACTTATTCAGCATCTAGAGTGGCCTAAATTGTACTTCCAAGTACGTTATACCTCGCGGTAGCGAATCAAGAGAATCCGGTCCATGCGCTACTTCCTCGAGGAAAGCCGAGTACGGAAGGTTCAAGAACAACATTCATGTTCTGGTGAACTGTGTCAGGACAGGACTTGAGTTAACCTGCTCGACGCATGTAGGTCTGCAACAAAGACTGATCAAGGATGACAAAACTGCGCTCGTGGGGTGGACGACGAAGGTTACATGATGAGCTAAGGCCTCCTTTCTCGATGTCACTTCCTTGGCCAAATAACTTTTGCGGCCACCTTTAGTCGATTTTGCCATCATATTCCAGAGTTGGCGGAAGGAATCTTCGTTGGGGGACCTGATTCGAGTCAGCGTGGCAGACAACTGCAGGGTGTCCACAAAGTCTGGGTACATAGGAATTTTAATT